TATAAACTTTTAAAATAAAAAAAGGGCCTATTGAATCCATATTTATCTATGGCCTCACCACTATAAAACTTCAAACTGTCTTACATATATAATAATTATTTATATATGCATAGTTCTTGAATTTATTTAACTTATTCCTAGGTTAATTGAAAACCAAAAAAAAAAAATGAATTTGAATAATGAATAAAACAAATTTAAAAAATAAAAAAAGAAGAATAATTTCGAATTTTCGATGAAAATGCAAAATAAATCGATAATTTAATAAATCTACATTTAACTTAAAGGGGGGAGGAGAGAGAGAGAGAGCTCTTTTAATTATCAATTGCAATTATTTTCTCTCCTCCCTCTTCTAATGATTTATATGTAATTTAAAAGAAAGAGTATTGGTGGTATATTCTTCAGGAAGAAAAATATTCCTCAACCCCTATCGAATCACGTGTCTGTTTCTATGGAAACAGGAGTAGAAGGAGCTTGGTAGCTGCATAGAAGTGGACGGAGATAACAGTTGCTTTCGTCCCGTTGCTATACCATTTCACTACATGTCGAAAAAAGAAATACTCGTTGTTGATTTCTCCTTCCAGTTTCAAAATATAGAGGAAAGACTTTTTGACGAAAAAAATACAGTATTTTCTGAGTTAAAATAGAAATTTTATCTATTTTAAAGCCAAGCATCACCGTATTCCTTAACTAATTACTTATATAGAAAGTATTATGTTCGAATTTTTAACTAATTTCGCAAGTATTTTGATAATTTTTATTAATAATAATAAAACTGTATCAAAAAGTTTAACATAAAAACAGACTGTAATAATAATAATATTATTATTAAAGCGTCAAAATTTAAATCTAAAATCGTCCCAAATTTAGCTACAACTTTATCAATCGAAACGTTTTTTTTTGAAGTAAACACTGATTCGGTATTTACTTGCGAGGAGAGAGAGAGACCCAGCAAGAAAACTTTTGCTTCTAGAGCAGCACTAAACTAACTGTACAACTAGAGAAGAGCGAGGGGGAGTCACCCTAGAACAGATTAAACCACTCTTCACTTCCGCTAGAGATGGTGAGGGAGAAGAGATAGAAACCGCTGGTTGCTATAGAAACGGTTGATGGAACCGATCCCTTCTCTCTCTCTCCTTCCTCTTTACGGTCGATGGTTATTAATTCTTGCATCGAAACGAAAGCGAGACGAGAAAAACCAACGTCTCAATAGACATACCTAAGAGATAACCTTAGAGTAATTAGTTAGACTACAGTTTAATGCGACCAATACACGTAAAGCTACCGTTTACGATCGTACATCACGCAAACTAAAACTTGTTTTCATTGATCCTCTTCTTAGTCGGATGAGAGGAACACTGCACCAATCGACTTTTAGTAAGGAATTTTCCAAGATTCTTCTATAGTTTTACTTACGAAAAATCTTATTTATTAATTCATTTATCATCTCTCTCTCTTTCTATTATTTATTTATTTATTTTTTAAATTCAAAAATAAATATATAATTTAAAAAGTATGAAAAGAAACCCCGAACGATTTACTTCATTATCCTATTGACGGGGAGAAATTTACACGTGGTACTTTGGCATCCCCTTTCCTTCATACATCGACATCGAATAGCGCATTAAACCTTGCCCGTGTTCTATATTTGTCGACTGAAAACTGTCTAACGTCACGCGAGTTTCGATGATATTTGCACGGAAAAGCGAAGTGTACCTACAATTTGTTTGTCACGACAAGAAAAGTATTAATTATATTATAAACTACATCCAAATTTAATTATTAAAAATCATAAAAATATTCTAAAACATAATGTAAAACTCTTTTCATATATACTTAAACATTATATAAATTAATAACATATTTCTTTATGGAGTTTTAGGCATCGAGCGGATCCATAAAATAGCAAATAATAATGTTAATATGGCTTCGGTTATATACTAGAACTGTTAGAAATGAAATCCTTCAAAAACAAAATCATAATTTAATTTTCTAAATGGAATTTAATATAATAATTTATACACTTATAGAATTTAAATTCTAGATGTTTTCCAAATCAAGAGAAATTTAACTTTATCCAATGCTCTAGAAATAATATTTAAATGATTATAAGACTTATAAATGAAGGATTATATTTTTATAAGATATATTTTTTTTGATAATAACCAGCATTTTCTTGATGGAAGAGAAAATTTACTTGACAACATCAGACTCGAGATGAATAATGAACAAATTCTTCATGTATCATCTATTTTTCTTGTTTACAATATAATCCCTTAAAAAATTGAATATATTAATGATTTAATCTTCGAGTATAAACATTAAATTTCATTAAAAATATAAAGAAATTCTATTTTCTCTTAATCCTTAACAATAAGGTTATAACATAATCCTAACATTATGTATATGCTGCATTAAAAACAATACAACATACTCTATTATACATTATTATATACTAAGTACAATAGACCCTCCCCTATAACACTGTTGATTTTTCCGTTTTATATGAATTCCATGTTGTATGAGTCACTTAGATTTTACAAATACGTGTGCCGTGCTGTGAACGTATTTGTAAAATCTAAGTGACTCGTACAACATGGAATTCATATAAAACGGAAAAATCAACAGTGTTATAGGGGGGTTGACTTGTATATTATTGTATATTCAGTAAATTATTTGATAAGTACATTTGAAACTATACTAAACAGCTTTCTACATATTCTTATAATACGATTTAAATATTATTAGAATAAACTTTGCAATAAACAATATAATTTTACTGAAGGAGTAAGCAAACTATTGTATTTTTCCAAAATTCATATAAACAATATAAATCTCTACCACTGGAAATTGTTGTATTTAATATATAATACAACTAACATCAGGTCAATAACATTATGTAACGTATATCCGTAGAATATAATATTTAATTTAATATTATTTCCTACAGATATACGTTACACAATGTTAGTGTATTATATATTAAATACGACAAACTAAACTACCAGTCAGCGGGTCACTATCTCCAGAGGAGGCGAATCGTAATTCCCATGTTATATCCAATCTTCCAATAGCCTACGATGTATTCTCCAATTAAAAAAACAACACACACAATACAGCGACTAGTGTAGTTAATTACGTTACAGTATACAACATTTAGTTAAAATTAGTAGAATTAGTACAAATTCCACTAATAAAATGCCAAACTCAGGTGTATAATTTTTTAATATATAAAAAAAAGGGGGAGGGGGAAGTATTTAATAGCTCAAATATTATATTAATTATGTTTTATATTCGTGTACCTTACGAAAAAAACGAGGAAAATATAAATTGTCAAACTTAATATATAATGTTAATGCAAATAAAAGGTTTCGTGCATGTTGTAAAGAGGGGGGAAAAAAAGGTAGATTAATTAAAATTTTCAACTACTCTAAACTTTTAATTTAAACGACAATCTTAAAGGTTTAAGTAAATGTAATTATCGTTATTTTAATTAATAATTATGTCAAATATTCCGAATTATCATCATAATAATTAATTAAAATGTCACCAAAAACATATAATCAAATTTTATGTAGAAAATTATACTATTCACTTCCGCTAGAGATGGTGAGGGAGAAGAGATAGAAACCGCTGGTTGCTATAGAAACGGTTGATGGAACCGATCCCTTCTCTCTCTCTCCTTCCTCTTTACGGTCGATGGTTATTAATTCTTGCATCGAAACGAAAGCGAGACGAGAAAAACCAACGTCTCAATAGACATACCTAAGAGATAACCTTAGAGTAATTAGTTAGACTACAGTTTAATGCGACCAATACACGTAAAGCTACCGTTTACGATCGTACATCACGCAAACTAAAACTTGTTTTCATTGATCCTCTTCTTAGTCGGATGAGAGGAACACTGCACCAATCGACTTTTAGTAAGGAATTTTCCAAGATTCTTCTATAGTTTTACTTACGAAAAATCTTATTTATTAATTCATTTATCATCTCTCTCTCTTTCTATTATTTATTTATTTATTTTTTAAATTCAAAAATAAATATATAATTTAAAAAGTATGAAAAGAAACCCCGAACGATTTACTTCATTATCCTATTGACGGGGAGAAATTTACACGTGGTACTTTGGCATCCCCTTTCCTTCATACATCGACATCGAATAGCGCATTAAACCTTGCCCGTGTTCTATATTTGTCGACTGAAAACTGTCTAACGTCACGCGAGTTTCGATGATATTTGCACGGAAAAGCGAAGTGTACCTACAATTTGTTTGTCACGACAAGAAAAGTATTAATTATATTATAAACTACATCCAAATTTAATTATTAAAAATCATAAAACTATTCTGAAACATAATGTAAAACTCTTTTCATATATACTTAAACATTATATAAATTAATAACATATTTCTTTATGGAGTTTTAGGCATCGAGCGGATCCATAAAATAGCAAATAATAATGTTAATATGGCTTCGGTTATATACTAGAACTGTTAGAAATGAAATCCTTCAAAAACAAAATCATAATTTAATTTTCTAAATGTAATTTAATATAATAATTTATACACTTATAGAATTTAAATTCTAGATGTTTTCCAAATCAAGAGAAATTTAACTTTATCCAATGCTCTAGAAATAATATTTAAATNAATAGCATAGTATAAAATTTACTTATTTATTGTGGAAAAAAGGTTATGTAATGTTAAAGTTTACATAATTATCAGTTAAACTATGTATGTATTTTTAAAAAATGTAGGGAAAAAAGATGCACATGTCAAATTATAGGTTTTATTAAAAGATCAATCGATAAGCGACAGTAAAATTAAGAGATAACAGCGGTAATAATATAATAAAATTTATGATGTCATCATCAACTATAAAGCACACACACAGCTGCAAACCAGGCCTAGATAAGTTAAAAATCGGGTTAAAGTATGGTAGCTAAAGTAAACCGGAAACAGATATATATATATGTATGGAAAAAGATGCGTTTTTACTTACATCACGATCTAAATTTAGTGCATCTTCTCTGCTATATCCGAGACTCCTCATGTGTTTTAGGTAAGTAGTAGTGATGGGCACACTGTAGTCTATGTCAGGCAGGTCGCTTGATTCGGGCGAACTACTGCCTTCGTCGTTGCTATGGTTACCACCTTTCCCGCCTTCCTCTGGTCCTAGATGCATCCGTTTCTGGCAGTCAGCGCATGACATTAGAAAGTGGGTCACAGCTTCACGGGGCAAGAAGGCGTAGGTTTCAGCAATCTGTAACGTAAAAGCCAAACATTTAACACATCAAAAACGATGGAGATTCTCTTTACACGATACAATTCCCGGATGTTGTTAGTTATGCAGTTATCATGCGCGATATGAGCGTACGACTGCGCGATGAGAAGATGCGTGAAGCATTCGTGTTTGTTTAAAATGACTGCTTTTCTATTCAAATAAGCTACGATGCTTAATCTGGCAAATATTATTAACGATTTAGCCATTACTTTTCTATAAAATCCGTTCGGGTTTTTCTTAAATTCACGTTTTATAACAAGAGTTTTATCTCCTCTCATCTCTCTCTCTCTCTTCCTCTCTCCGTTATCCTCTTCCCTTTATCATTTTCAAATTTAAAATAATTCATTTTATATAGTTTCTATTATTAAAAAAATATGTAAATTATTTTTTATTTCAAACATAAAATTGATGATTTAAAAAAATATATATACAATTTTAAAAGAATTTAAAGTGAATAGCCACAAAGATTTATCTTTTAAAAATTAAAAAAATTTCGATTCAAATTAATGTAAAAATTACTTGGTTTTCTTAAATATAAATAATAAAAATTAATATAATTAATACAAATAAAAATAATTTTGATCCAATGTAATTTTTAATTAAAAAAAAAAAACTTCATTAATCTGATGTCTATGAAAAATTTCGAATTTTTTTTTTTTTAATTTATTATTTAAAATCTACATTTTAAAATATTCAATTAAATGTTTGAAACGCCACAAATATTGAACGTTATATTACACGATTTTAAAATATTACCTTTATTTTTAGAATGTGATTTAATTTTATTAAAAGAAATTTATAATTCGCCCATCGGCCAAAAGAGGGCATTAGTAATGTAATGAGGAAGTAGAGTGGTTGCCAGTTTTTAACGCTTATTTAAAAATGAAAAATATAAAATTACACTATTCGTGTTTTGTTAGATAAAATATTTAAAATTATCGTACTTTTGACGATAATTAATAATAGAATTTAATATTGTTGTTCTAATAAATTAATTTCCGGTTCAAACGCTTTTGGCAATAGTCCAATTGGATTCGGATTACTTCATAGATTGCAGAGGCGTAAGGGAGGACGAAAATTGTCCAGTTCCGATTAAAACCTAATTTCGATACCAGATGTCGACACATATCATTTTGGCGACAGAAATTTGACGTCAATTTATCCGCTATCCTTCCTCCTATTCGACCATTTGATTTACAGTTTCCGAATCGTCAAACTTAATCCCGTGTTTACATTAAACACATTAGAATAAATTATTGCACATTTTAAAATAAAATAAAAAAAATTACATAAATTTTAAAATATCTTTTAAATAGATCAAAAGAAGTTTAAAGGCAATCAATCACGCAATATTTATTATTTTTTTTTTAAAGAATGAGCGTGGCAATTTTCGGAAAAGTTTAATTCGGACGCATAGTTTTGTCGCTCGGTGACACGCTGTTTATACCAACTTCTGATTAATTTACAGTCGACGTACAAATGGGGCCAATGACGTCATTGGACCAGACAGGACTAATCTGTCGCCACGCAGAAGGAGCTCTTACCATACGACATCCGAGCCCTATTGATTAAAGTGCTATTAGAACCGAGAAGGAACTGAAACTAAGAATGACGCTTTAACTGTCATCAGTATTTATCCTGGCATAGAACTGATTTCAAAATAATTATCTAAACTATGCTCTTCTCTTAATAAAGTTTAAGCAAATTCTATGGGACCTTCCATTTTTTATTTAGTCAACTTTTACGCATCACTTATGCTATATATAATGATAATAATTCATTTTTTTTTAATATTTTATGTACGTATTTTATAAAAGTTGATTTAAAATTAATTATATAATTTCATATTAAAAAATGTATAAATATTTTTATTTTTTTTAAAAAAAATATGCACTTTTGTTTAAAATATAATAGAATTTTTAAAGGAGTGGGGAGTTTAAATTCAGGACAGGAAATGAGAAAACTGTTAGGAATTGCAGAGCTGATAATAATGAACAATCAAGCTTTATTAAAAATAGTTTCAACGTTATGTAATTAGATCCAGATAGTTGCAAATATGGGTTGTACCGAAGGTGAAGAGGCCGACAGCAGGAGGTCGAATGGGCCACTATTCACTTCAGCAACCTTGTTGTAAAAGAGCAAGCGTATAGATAAGGTTTAGCGATGAATTAAAATAGAGAATTACACAAATATAAGATTATTTTGCAGAGTTTTTAACGTGTTAATTGGAGAATAATATCTTAAAACAAAGCTAAGTTTGCTAACCTCTCTTCAATTCGTGTGAATTTTTATAGAAAAATACTTTTTTAATAACGATTTAATTTTTAATTATTATAGAAAATATAGTATAATTTATTGTTTCAAAATATTATAACAATAATAAAAGGGCATCGTTCAACTTTCTATAATTCCTTTAACAATATGAAGCACATTAAGTGTTATATCTAACTAGCTACGTATACAACTGTAAATGTGGCTTCCCCGCACGATCGTCCTGTTTAGAAAGGCATACGTTAGAAAAGGGGATGCAACAATATAAGATTTTAAATTAAAAAAAAAAAACAAAATACACATTTAAAAGAAATACGTCACAATATTACGTAGCTGTTGCGTTAAGAATATTTTNGTAGAAAGGGTCATTTTCTATAGTGAGATATCTTTCTAAGGTATACATCTCGAGTGATATACGTGGCGTGCGTTTACATGTTCATCCCCCTTTTTTTTTGGAAACCGACGTATAGAAGAAGTCAGTACAGAGTTCTGGCGAGTAAATAAGAACGACGTCGAACTCTAAGGCGAGTTTAGGTAGTGCTACGTATACAACTGTAAATGTGGCTTCCCCGCACGATCGTCCTGTTTAGAAAGGCATACGTCAGAAAAGGGGATGCAACAATATAAGATTTTAAATTAAAAAAAAAAAAACAAAATACACATTTAAAAGAAATACGTCACAATATTACGTAGCTGTTGCGTTAAGAATATTTTAAACTTTATAATTTTAAAATGGGTAAGTCTCTGTTTTATCGATTTGAGTCGATCGTATACCTGGTAAGGTCAATCGAGTCATTTCGGTCCACACCAATATGGAAATCGCTACGATGACAGAGCCATCTGACAAGTACTGGAGAGTCATTAGGAAGGACCGACGACAGAGCCATCTGTCTAGGAGCCATTAGGTCACGTGGGTCTTTTTCTTTTTACGTCGTCTAATACAGTCGAACCGACATCGAGAAATCGTTGAGGTTTCTGACCTACCTACCTCCACTACTCTCCAATCACTTTCGCTCTTAGTTATTAGACAGTGTCTGAAACCGAGATTAAAGATGTACGAAAGTCGGCAACTAAATCCCTCCGGTTACTAAGATAGGAACCATTATAAGGAAAAGTCAGAGATTCTCTTCAACTTCGCTATCGAACAGACACTTTTTTCTTCGTTATTTTTTTTCATGGGGACGTTCTCTTAAACATAATCTCTTATATTCACTTATACCTCTATCGATGCTTAGATTAATAAAGTTTTTAAAAAATGGATTATTCAGAATCTAGGATTGAAAACGCTTCGGTTTCTCTCCCTTTGATGAAGATATTGGAATATATAGAAGGTATACTCACTGCTTTGTAAGTCCTCTTCTGTCCTGCATGTTTGCCTCCCCTTCCTTCCATTTCCACGTGGACTCCATATATAATATCGAAAAAGTTCTCGACGATGGCCACTTTTTTGTATACGGTTTCGTCTCTAGATCCATTCGTCTGAAAATGACAAATAAAATATGTTATAGAGTGTATATATTCGGCACTACTGTATACATCGGCGCGCGTCGCGTCGCACAGGTCGCAACGCGCGTTGATTTAAAAACATTTAGAATGCTTCACCTCCTTTAAAATAGTAAAATATTAATGTTAATCTGTAGAAAAACAAACAGAAATTATTTCTAGATTAATTTATTTACAAAAATTTCGAAAATTATTTAATAATGGCTATCTATTTTGAATATCGCATACTTCACGCGCGTCACTTAATCGCTTCGCAAGCGGATTATATAATTATAAATCACAAAAAATATTTTCAAATAAATAAATATTTATAAATTCGAACTTAAATAAGAAAATAGCATGTTAAATATACGACTGAAGCGCAACGCGACGCGAAGCGCGACGATTTAAAATAGCATAGGATAAGATGACCAATATTCATATAAGCGCACATTTATTGCTATACCGTTCATTTAGAAACAACCATATCGAATACACAAGATAGATGGATGACATTTGACTATGTGACGCTTATATTCTTCACGGAATTTCAACGATGTATAACGTTCGAATATTCGTTCGGACGTAGAAAAATTGTTGTTGATGTTTAGTCGGAAGGCACACGCTTCAGATTATTCTAAATATTTATAAATAATAAATAATATATATATACAAATCCAAATAAAATTTTTTATATATTATTATTATTATTATATTCGCTAGAAAACCTGTAGAATTTCGTGTGATTAATTTAAGAAGTGTAAAGTCTGTTGCTATGGTTACAGAACAGTTCGGAAAATGTCGTGGAATGATCGAGTCGTTTCCAAATTAATTTTTAAGGCCCCCTTTTTAGTAATTTTAAAATAATTTAATTAAAGCGTCCTATTTTAAATTAAACTTTTTTTTTTCTTTCTTTCTTTTTTTTTTCCTCCCTATTTTTCCACCTATTCGTTTTACTTTTAAAATGTAAATAATTGATTTTATTAATCCCGTTGTTTGTTTGTTTCACTTTCTAACATTGGTCGATTCGGTCGGTGACGTCACTGACGAACATTTTCCATCCGGGACACCCGGATAGACACGAGACGTTTCGAGTGAAAAATGGTGGACCGGAATCGAGAGAACCTTGGCGCCGTCTGACGTACAGACGATGAAAGAACTCTCTCGTGGCAATTCTTATTTTTCGAGTCTCGACGAAAGGTAGTTCTAGTAAAGGATTTGTTGTAAAAGCAACTAGTTCTACCGCCTGTCAGATTCAATTTGAATCCAATTCGATAATTCGACATTTTCCATAACTCAAACATTAAGCGTGCAATACCACCGATGACTACGGGGGGATAACCCGTCCGTAACTTGCAAACGTGCAATTTTTCACATCTTCCGACACTTTTCCCTCGTTGCTCCGAAATACCACAACATTTTTCTAATTAGATAATTGCAAAAGTTGGAATTTTCACGCCTCGTATTGTGCTCCTCTTTATATTTTTTGGTAGGGGCGTTCAGAAATTGACACGATTTTTGGTTCCTTCCACGGGCGAATTGCTTCAAATTAATTTAACCAATGTTGTTGGTTATTTATGTAGTAGTACCATTTGGTTGCAATCTGTTGTTCTTGCACTGCACGATTTTCAAAATATTGGGCTTTCAATCGTCACTTAATTTGAAACATCGTTTAGAGCGCGAAATTTACCACTTTTGCTGTTACAAAATACATGGAGAACCAACTGTTCCTTCGGGTGCTATGCGCTATTACATCTCACCAATATTTTAAACATTGAGAAGTGCGTCGATAGTAAATTTTACAAGAGCTCCTATATAAACAATGCGATCGGCGATCGAGTGAGTGGGCGATGCTCGTGCATTCGGTTCAGAGATGGACCCGCACGTCGTGTTTCCAACTAGAATACGATCCGCCTGGACTCTCCATTGCCAAAATTAGGATGCGGGAGATGCAGCTTCATCATCCACTTCGCCCCTATCGCCGCCTTCATAATCACGTTCTAAGTTATAAATAGTAATATACCGCCTCATAATATTGAAAATTGAAAACTCCAATATCAGTTAACATCACGGTTCTTAATATTCGTGATTTTTAGTAAGTTTTCGTATTCTGGTAATAATTTTTAATGGTGTTCGAAATATCGGGACAGTTTCTCTGTTCAGCATTCTCTCTTCTCGATTATCGAAATCCTGAGGATAAGATTTAATCCTGTCGTAGTTAAAGATGTTTACATCGGAACAGGAGGATCAAGATCAACCCTTTTACCCCCGGAACTAACGATAGGCGCAACTTCGTTCTGCTCCAACTTCCTCTACGACGCCCATGTTTGAAGCTTCGATAGTGTTGGTTGCCAAGGCAACGCCTGACGTCTACCCACCTGTTAGCTCCAGTATCCGCCATCTTGTTCCCGTCCGTAAAGAGAAATTTTTTTTTCCTTATTAAAAAAAAATAGTAATAATAATAATAATAAAAAATAAGCATACCGAAAGTTAATAATTCTAAAGCGACCGCCATTTAAAATCATAAACAAATTATTTATTATTTAAAAAAAGGAAAGAAAAAAAAAAACATTTTTTCGCCGCTTATTAAGCATAGAAATTTTTAACGAGATGATCATAAATGATAAATTTTTGCACGTTCGACGCACTTAAAAATTGCATATAAATGCTTCCTGCAATAACACGAAGGAATTTTTATTTAGGGTACGTTGCTACTTTATTATTTATATTCATAGCCGTAGTATAAAAACCTTTTTTAAATGATATAAGTCGTAGGAAATATGGCGGGAGAAAAGGGAAAGAAGGAAGAAAAAAAAAAAACAAATTGGCAATAAGAATGCACACAACCCTTATATGTGGGCACAGCTGGAAGCTATGCTCGATGCAGAACCTAAAGACGGAAGCGCATCAGTGGAAACAGCTGCTTATGAAGTTGACATGGACGAGTTAACCGGGTTTCGTTGAATAGTCTATAATGATAGCACTAATTCAACACAGCTCTTCTTTGATATCTTCGATTTCTAAGTTAGGAAAGAAACATATTCCGTACTCTAGATATTACCCACTCGTGGGTTCGGTGCTGCTCGATACAGCCGCCGTTTGCACGGTGGAGGTACCCAGTCGTTGCTTGTTCCTAAAATAGCATTTCCCGGATATATTAGTGAAGCCGAGAAACGCGGAGAGAGGGGAGTGTGCGGGGGCAACGAGAGAGCGAATTAGTGCTCCTCCTGTCCTTCTAAAAATTTCCAACTCCCGTGCACTTCCCTAGTTAATAAGGAAAGGGCGAACCTTGAAAATCGACAAGCGCGTTGCTTGGAGACCGTCCGGTATCTAGGCAACGGGCTGTGTCCCGGCCCGGGGGCCAATCTGTCTCCTCTCCACCCGCCCTGTTCGGGAAAATTAGGACAGAAGGACTGAAGTTACATCAACCATAGGCCTTATATCGATCTGTGTGATCCTACGGCTGAGTGAACTCGTGCGTTGTCAAGGTGATGCTAGAGGCCTGGGGGTGGAACCGTCCCGATAAGGGGGAGAGAGCGGAGAGGCAAAGCCTCTTCTGGACTGAAAGTACCGATATTTTTTTTTTTTTTATTAATAACTCCCCAGTTTGGAAAATACGCTTTTATTTCTTTAAAAATCTGAAGTGTATGTTCTTTTTTTTTGGCATTTTATTTCCTCAAAAATATACTCTATTTTTTTTCTTGTTGTGACCGAAAAACCTCTCTGGGATATTTGAACGAATGTGATGAGTCTAAATTTTCGGGTAGTGGGTATCAAATTGAAGTTCTCTTAGTGGAACCGCACGACTCACCACCTCTGACGATTTTGTTGGATCGATTGAGAGCTATCTGGCCTACTGAGGGGTTGCGTGCCTGAATCACTGTCCCTGACGCCATCTTGTCTCTATCACTAAAGAGCATGCGCACTTAACAATATAAAGCTGTAGTAGGTTTGCTCTATATGGGTTTTTTTAGCGTACGAACTAACACCGGTGTACACGTGTGGAAAGATCAAATTTAATACATTAAAATATATACATATAAACATTTAATATAATTTTTTAAATAATACAAAGCATAGAACATTAATTTTTTTTATCCTTTAAATATTATTTCCATGGGGCATTTTTTCAGTGGTTTTGCTATAACTTTAAAAGGGGATTCGTACGAATGAACGGTCTTTTTTATGCTTAATATTTATGTTAGTAATTAGTAATTTATACAACAAAATTTAAAGAAAAAAAATTAAAAATTCCAGTTAAAATTTTGTAGAATTTATTATTCTTCTTTGTATAAGAAGTTTATCAAAATATGTTGTGAGCATCACACCTCTG